AAACAAAAATATGAATTTAACTAAATGAAGTTTTGCCAACCCTAGAATACCAAAATTTACTTCATAAAGTTCTACCAACCCAAAAATATTAAATTTACTAAATAAAGTTCTTTAAAAATAGAATTAATTATATTGTATCTGTTCGATAGGTATTAGTTGGTTATGCTGATAGTGTTAGTACTGTTAGTTAAAAATTAGCCCGGACCTTTTTTTTAGTAAACAATATCAAATTTACTAAATAAAGTTCTACCAACCTAAAAATATCAAATTTACTAAATATAGTAGTTCTACCAACCAAAAAGTATCAAATTTACTAAATAAAGTTTTACCAACCTAAAAATATCAAATTTACTAAAATTAAAGTCCTTTAAAAATAGAATAAATTATATTGTAGCTGTTCGATAGATATTAGTTGGTTATGCTGTTAGTGCTATTTAGTGTTAGTACTGTTAAAATTAACCCGGAGGCCTGGACGCCCGGGCCTCCTTTAGTAATCAATTGTTGAATTTTATTGACGATTTTGATGAAACTTATTATGATGATGTCCTAAAACATTATAGGCCTAGGGAATACGGTTTAACTAAAAAACATTAAAATATAACAAATTTGGATTGATGCCACTTCTGATTGACTAGATCAATTATTGACACATATCGAAAGGTGCCTCTCGACTTAGGACAAAATGCCACTTACACCTAGTAAGTAGTAGGTGTAAGTAGAAAACAATTCTACTGATGTAAATAAATCCGTCATCAATTTTTATTATTATTATTATTATTTTTATTACTCTCAGTGCGCGAGTTGACTTCTATTCCGCCCATCTGGTGGACAAAAAATCCAGAACCCGTCGATCGATTGGTCGACGCCTCTCGGATAAAAGGAGGTTCTAGAATCCACAAAAGGCTCGTTTAGTCCGGGAGGGGATACTTCAGTTTCACGCAATTCGTACGATGAAACGACATTTGGCGCATAGTCATCGCGGTGTGCGCATGTGCCGATAGGCCGGAGAACTCCGAAACCGAAATAATTTTTTTTCCAAAACTTGGAAAAAATAGAAAATTCGAAAAAAGTGTGGTAGATTCCATAAATTTGGTTTATGAGTGTTTTAGTTTGGTGGACACGTGTGCGGTACCGGTGATTAGTGGTGTAATTGAACTCCAAAAACACTATTTTTTTTTTTTTTTGGAAAACAAAAAACTAAACAAGTTTGTGTTTAAATCCAAAATAGTATTTTGAGTGTTTTTTTGGACATTTGTGAGTTGTGCAAGATATGCTGATAAGACTGACACTTGACTCCGAAACTCCAAAATTTGTTTTTTGAGGTCCAGCCAAAAACTAGACATTTTTTGAAAAAAGTGTTCAAATCAAAAATAGTGTATGAACTCAAAAATATTATTTAAAAAAATGTTTTTTACTACGTGATGTAATTGAATATCGGATCGCCAAAATTTTATTAAATAAATATTGTGTGAACATTTTCAAAAAAAAAAAAATGCATGTTCCATTTTTTGAAAAATTGTGCTGAAGTGTGTTGACCTCACAGACAATACTTACTATACAAATTGTGTTTAAACAATAACAAATAAACAAAAGCTGCTGCAAAAAAAAACAAAAAATAATAACATTTTGCTTAGACAATTTTTGGAAAACACAATACCCACGTGGAAGATCAAAATTTTTCAAAAAAGCAAAATTTTCCTGTTTTTTGTAAAAAAAATGGTGCAAAAACCTGTTGTGTCTCGTAGCATGAAAATTATATAAGAAAACTTTTTTGAACATTTTTTGTGAAGTGTGTTGCAGAAGTGTTAATGTGCGCGTTTTCCAATTTTTGCAAAATTTCAAAAAAATTAAATAAACAGATACCAATTTTTAACCCGTAAACTATGTTCAGCTGTATTTTTAACAAGTTATGAGTATTATTTTAAAAAAATCGAATGTTGATTTGTTCTTGATATTTTTCCAAATTTTTTTCCGTCGTTAAATCAGTGATTACAAACTCCTAATCGTGTTGGGTCCATATGGGGCGTGATAACCGAAGACAGAGTGCTTGGAATGCACTGGGTAAGAATAAAACTATTTATTTATCTATATTCATATTTACATATTCATTTATATATTTATTTATTTATTTACGTACGTCCCGGAAAATCCTATTAGCTAATTTTATGTTTCAAGTCATTCTGAATCGTTTGACACCGATATTGACAAAAGTATGTGTTGTGCGAGACAAAATTTGATTTCCGTCGATGTTTTCTCAAAAACGGCTGTACCGATTTTAAAAATTCAAAAACCATTCGATGTACCTCGATAAAAAAATTAGCGTTATTAATTTTGTGCGACGATCAGCAGAGCCGTTTCTTTAATAATTTGCATATAAGTGTAAAATGTAACTCCACAAGGAGAGAACAGTATTGATTAGGTTTTGGTAAAGATATAAAGTAAATGTATTCAAACATGTTCTTCAACGAGCTCGTCAGGGTAAACTAATTACTGTATAATCTTGTAATTTTAGTATATCATTTTATAAAGTATATATATTGTTGTGATATATTTTAAAGACGATCGGCCGAGCCGTTTCTTCAATCAGTTAGGAATCGTGCTGATGAGTTTTTGGTTAAGATAGAATAGGGGTTTTCAATTTTGACGAGCTCGTCAGGCTAAACTAATTGTAGTAGAATGTTGTATTTCTAGTATATCATTCTATAAAGTGTATAGATTGTCGTGATATAATATGAAGAAGATCGGTCAAGCAGTTTCTTCAATAATCTGCATATAAGCGGAAAATGTAACTTTAGTAGTTGAGAATCGTGCTGATTAGTTTTCTGGTCAAGATACAGAATAGGTGTTTTCAATTTTGACGAGCTCGTCAGGATATACTAATTTCCGTAGAATGTTGCAATTTTAGTATGTTATTATATAAAGTGTATAGATTGTCGTGATATATTATAAAGAGGATCGGTCAAGCCGTTTCTTCAATAATTAGCATATAAGTGGAAAATGCAGCATTAATAGTTGAGAACAACAGTACTGATTATTTTTTGGTTAAGATATAGAATATGTATTTTCAATTTTGACGAGCTCGTCAGGCTATACTAATTGTAATACAATATTGTAATTTTAGTATATCATTCTATAAAGTGTTTATATTGCCCTAATGTATTAAAAAGACGATCGGTCAAGCCGTTCCTTCAATAATTAGCATATAAGTGTAAAATGTAACTTCATTAGGTGAGAACAGTACTGATTAGTTTTTGGTCAAAATATACAATAGGTATTTTAAATTTTGACGAGCTCTTCAGGCTAAACTAATTGTAGTAGAATGTTGTATTTTTAGTATATCATTCTTTAAAGTATATAGTTTGTCATGATATATAATAATATATAAAAATTTCATATGCTAGTTGCAATAATTAATGATTAGTTGTACATGCGCTTTTTAATAGAAGCACTTTATGAACATTTTTTTAACGAGCTCTTCAGGACATAAAAATTATAGTAGGAAGCTGTAATTCTAGTATGTCATTTTATAACGTATACAGATTTACCAGGTATAAAAAAATATATATCCTAAAATAGTATAGGCCTATGAAAAATGCTTGAACTATGAAACATCATTTGGGACGCGCATATGTTAAATTTTCCTAAAAATCCATACATAAGAAGCCTTTTCGCTTAATACGCCCTTTTAGTTCACTCCCTGGGAAATCGTGTTAACGGAGTTTTGCTGTATATATTTGTTTATGTGTGTATGGACAAGTATAAGGTTCAAAATGATAATAAAAATCCGAACTTGTCACTAATTTTGATAAGAGAAGATTTATTAGTCTAGCAGCATCAGTTTTTCTTTGTTTTTTAGTTAAGATAACTCTTAAGTTCATTGCCACATCTTATACATACATACACACTTATAAAAATACATACATACATATATACATGCATACTTATATATTGGTGAAACTTCGTTAAGACGATTTTCCAGAGGCGAGACTAAAAAAGCGTTTTACGCGGGAAATGGTTTTATGCGAGATATACTTTAGCCAATATGTAATAAACGATATGTTTCAAACTAGTTGTAAGTGACGAGCTTCTGTTTACCTTGGTATGAGGAGTCCATGCAACTTGCCTTAAAGCAAAATACCACTTACAACTAGTTTTTTTATATAAATTAAGAATATTGAGCCTCGTCTTTAAATAAAAACAAGGCTTCCAAAAATTTTACACCACTAAGGGTGAGGAACAAAGTTACATATAAGGCGTAAAAACACTTTGACAAAGTAAATGTGAGCAGTATTCCACAGCGCGAGCTAGAAAGCAATTTTCTTCTAAAAATCAAATTGGTATTAACCCTACTAATTTTTTATTAATTTGTAAAATTGCACGACTTGTTGTAGGGCTTATAAATATGTATAAATATATATATATATATATATATATATATATGTATGCATATGTATGAATATGTATGAATTTGTATGTATATGTATAAATGTGTATAAATATGTATAAATGTTTGTTCAAGTGCATAAATGTATATGCATTAGCAATGTAATTGCTATATAAATATGTATGAATATGTATGCATGTATATAAATATGTATAAATGTGTATAAATATGTAAAAAATTGTATAAACGTTTGTTCAAGTGCATAAATGTATATGCATTAGCAATGTAATTGCTATATAAATATGTATGAATATGTATGCATGTATATAAATATGTATAAATGTGTATAAATATGTAAAAAATTGTATAAACGTTTGTTCAAGTGCATAAATGTATATGCATTAGCAATGTAATTGCTATATAAATATGTATGAATATGTATGCATGTATATAAATATGTATAAATGTGTATAAATATGTAAAAAATTGTATAAACGTTTGTTCAAGTGCATAAATGTATATGCATTAGCAATGCAATTGTATATAAATATGTACATGTGTGTATAAATATGTATAAATATGTATGAGTATGTATGCATGTGTATAAATGTGTATAAATATGTATAAATATGAATAAATATGTAGAAATTTGTATAAATGAAAAGTTTATGCCTGTGTATAAATGTCTATGGATTGTTCATATAATTGTATATGAATATGTATATGTGTGTATAAATATGTATGAATATGTATGCATGTGTATAAATATGTATAAATATGTATAAATGTGTATAAATATGTAAAAAATTGTATAAACGTTTGTTCAAGTGCATAAATATATATATGCATTAGCAATGCAATTGTATATAAATATGTATATGTGTGTATAAATATGTATAAATCTGTATGAATATGTATGCATGTGTATAAATGTGTATAAATATGTATAAATATGCATAAATATGTAGAAATTTGTATAAATGTTTATTCATGTGCATAAATGTATATGCATTAGCAATGCAATTGTATATAAATATGTATATGTGTGTATAAATATGTATAAATATGTTTGAATATGTATGCATGTGTATAACTATGTATAAATGTGTATAAATATGTAAAAATTTGTATAAATGTTTGTTCAAGTGTATAAATGTATATGCATTAGCAATGTAATTGTATATAAATATGTATATGTGTGTATAAATATGTATAAATATGTATGAATATGTATGCATGTGCATGTGTATGAATATTTGTGCAAGTGTATAAATGTATATGCATTAGTAATATAATTGCATATAAATATGTATATGTATGTATAAATATGTATAAAAGTATATAAATATGTATGCACGAGTATAAATGTGAATAAAAAGTGCATAAGTGCGTATAATTGCGCATTAATTTGTATAAATCAGTATAAACATGTATAAATACGTATAAATCTATTACCATTGCAATTAAAATCGAATCTAACCTCAATAAAAACACCTTGTCCATCAGTGATTTAATTTTATTTCTGTCTCCGAGAACTTTATGTGGCATAACGAACCAGTCCCGAGTAATTCAATTTGGATTCTCGTTTAATTTTATTTGAAATTTATTTGAAAAAAAAACAGAAAAAGAACGACGACATTAGACGACTTAATTCGAAGACAAACGAAGACAGTAATAAATTTGTTAGAAAAACTTGTGCACTGAGAATTTAGTAGAATTTTATTAGGAAAAAGTGAGAGTTTGTGTAGATTATTCGGAATATTTCGGGTAGTGATGGGAATTTTTTTGATTTTGGTACTTGTGATGTAAATATATATATTGAAGTATAAATAAGTGAAGTTTTGAGTTTGTAGGATCTCTATTGGGCACTGAGAGTTACGTTTAAAAACGCATTATTTATTGCAGCTTTTTTTTACATTTGTTTAAATATATCAAATTTTTTTGAGAGAACATATCAATTTCAGTATTTGGAAGGTCCTTTCTTCAGTAACTTATAAATATAGCGAAATTTTGTGAGAAAACCCATCAATTTTAGTATTTGGCATTATAGTAGGCATACTAAGGTATGATGTATTAAAATTTCAATATTGTACTAGGAATCGTTCGGCATGAATACTGGAAAGAGTTGAAGTGTTTTAGCCGGGACAAATTTCGGGTACTGTTTCAGAACAAATAGCAAATTTTCATATATTTTCTAAGAAAATATATCAATTTTAGTATTTGTCATTACAGTAGACATAATAAACTCCAACATACTCAAATTACAAATCTATAAACCTTCATTTTAAGTTCAAAATAAATTATAAATTATGCACCATTAATTTTGGATTTTAATACTTTAATGGTAGACGTACGGGCACACAAAAGCATAGTGCAATAATAATAATTTACTAAAATTATAAAAAAATATAAAAAATAATTAAAATATTTATATTTAACTATATTAAATAATTAAAATATTTGTATTTACTATATTAAAGTACTAAAAATTTTATAAAATTTTTTATTACGATGTTTATTACCTTAGACCTCAGTGCTCGTAATATGTTTTTTCCAAATAAATTTTCATCTCATGTCAGAGAATAAAATTTGTTAACGCTGTTTTGTTAAAAAACAAACTGCACGTTTGAAGATTTTTATTTTAAAACAGAAAAAAACAGCAAAAACGAAAAAAGAG